GTATATCATTGCCAAATTGCAAATTTTATTTCTGAGTGAGATGTGAATGGAGCTATTTAGAGGATAGTGCCCAAGATCCTCACTTCCTCGTTGTTGTTTTTTTAATTTAATTTAATTTTTATAGGTAATACTTTTTAAATAACTATTTAAATTACATGTTCGTTTCACACATGCACACAGTCTGTGGACAATATTGACTCTTTGTTTTGACATTAGAAAAGACTAATCATCGAATTATCGCAGACTGGCAATCTAGAAAGGAACCATAGAATCATACAGAATCATCACCAGCAGTTCCTGACATTTTCAGAAATGTAAGGTTTGTGGTTCTCCAAATTTCAGAAAAAGATCTCTCAAAGCAGTAGATTTCTTAATCTATGTCAGGAACTTTTATCCCAGTTTCTTTCTGTTGGATCTTGACAGATTTTAATGGCTCAGTGGCATGCAGCCTTTCAGCATTTTAAATAAACAGATATTTTCTTGGTCTTGGCTAATAATAATAATAATAATAATAATAATAATAAATTTATTTCTATTAGCCATCACTGTGTTCACCTGGTAATCACTATTGCTCAAACAGCAGAAAAGTTCAAATATTGAACTTATATTGATACAAAGGCCTCACACGCCCAATGGCTGGGACAGCTCTGAATGGCTGTTCAGAAGCAATCTGGAAAAGTAATACTGGGAAGATATAGTTTAGATTTTACACAAGAGCCTTTTCAGGGATGTGTGACTGAAAGATTTAATTGCTTGACTTTTGTCTCATCTCTCTACTCCTTCTATCTGTTTCTCTTGGATGTCCTCCGAGTCCTCCTGCCCTTCTTATATATCTCTTAAGTGCCGTCTCATCTCAAGCACTTTCCTATTGTAACAATATTTGCTCAGGGTGTCTCCCGTCCTGCCTTGGCTGCTTTTCAAAGGCCAAGTCAAGGGTAATTTTTCGGAGTTTAGCACTGGAATTTCAGAGAAGCAAAGCAAATGTTTTTTTCTAGGGCAAACTTGTTGCCCTTCCCAACATTTGTTGCCCTTGCAGGGAAAAGTGGGAAAGTCATAAGCATCCCAAATGTGCAGGCAGAGGAGGGGAAAAGGAAGACCAAGAAAATATCCACAGAGAGATTATTTATTCCAGGGCAAGACTGAATGTAACTTTTAAACCAAAGTTGGACCATTTGTGATCTGCCAGAGGCAGGTGGACTTGTTATGTCCCATCAAATAGACCCTGACTTACAGTGACCCTGTCCTAAAGTTTTCTTGGCAAGGTTTGTTTAGACGAGGTTTGTCATTGCCTCCCTTTTAGGGCTGAGAGAGTGTCACTTGCTCAAGGTCACCCAGAGGATTTCCATCACTCTACGGGGAAACGAACTCTGATCTCCTAGAGTCTAAGGGCCTTTGCAGCCTGCCAGAAATAGTGCAAATTGAGTCCACTTTAAGGGTTAGGATTAGTGCTAGGGAATCATGGGAATTTTTTTTTCTGAGACATTGAGCCTTCTCTATCAGAGAGCTCTGGTGCCACAATAAAATACAGTTCCCATTATTCCCTAACCCTAACCCTAACCCTTAAAGTGGACTCAATTTGCACTATTTCTAGCAGTCTGTAAAGGCCCTTAGTTCATCAGCCAAATCCCACATCATGCTGGATCTGTGCAGTTGGACTGTAACTCCCATAATCTCCAGCCGTTTTAGCCAATAGTGAAGGCTGCAGACCCTGCAATGCAGATGAATCTGGAAGGCCCCAATTGCTCAAACAACGGAACATGCCTTAGAGAAGGCTTTGTTCCTCAAAACTATTGCTTTAACCATGCTCAAAGGTATGCAGTTTTAATTATTTACATTAATCTGAATAATTGCCAAAGGTTGCTTTAACAGGCAACAGCCTTAAACATTAAGCTAGGTGGAGTAGGACTCAGGAAGAGCATATTTCCCATAGAAGGTGAAATTTCCCATCAAAAAGTGCCATATTAGGTGCTGAAAGTCACACATCCCTCCACATTTTTGATGTCTGCCTTCAGCGATATACTGGAGCCAGGCTTGCAGCACCAGAGATCAAGAACTTTTAAAAAATGATCCATGATGATGTAATCTGCTGCCCCATTTAAGCCTCCCCCCTCTCAACTTAATAGTTATTCTCAAAGTAACTCGGAAGAACATTAATTTTCTCAGCAACAATGTATTTTTGTGAACTACCCTTATTGCGATGCAATGTGTTTAGGGATGGCTTGATCTTGAATGCATACTTAAGAGCTATTAGCTGTACAGAAGACCTGGGATGAATTACAACATCCACCATCCCCAGACAGCAAGGACCCCCTTTTGTGCCAGCTGGAGATGATGGGAGTTATACTCCCATGCAACTGAGGAGGCAAGTCAGGGAAGGCTGAAGTGGAGGAACTGGGAGCAAAACATACCAGCATCCACGGCTTTGCTGTGCTCACTGGTCCTCAAATCCCTTCCTGGGTTTGGAATAAAATACTAAAAAACCAAAGAAAGGGGTTATGCCAAAAGAATAAAATTGAACAATGCCCCACCTAACTTCAAAAACAAAAATGTAAAAATGTAAGAAATAACTAAACCCTGGAGCAGAAAAGCCTCTATAA